CCACGAGAATTCAATGCAGCACATGGCCTCTGTGCAGAACACCAGAGGTGATGTATATCAATGATTTCTAATCACCGAATACTCTGCGGTCTATGATGCATATCGTATAGCCTCATTAGTAATCAGATATCTTCCGTGGTGATGCACACCACCTCTCAGTGATTAATTGTTCAGTTAATGAGAAAAAAACACTTTGCTCTCAGTAACCATAAAGTTCCATGTGAGTTTATCATTCTTAACATGTTTGCTGTGTGCTCACCACTACTGTTAGCATCAGTAGGTCCTAAAGATAAAATGGCCATTCGTTGTGTTTAAACCCTCCTAACGACGCTCCTTTCCCTCGTTGTTTATCTTCTCTCTGTATCGTATCATGCTTGTTGGTGTCCATCTTTGTTTTGGTATTGCATGGACAACAACATGGTAGCGACTACCCAGAATGTATTGCTATTACAGAATTCCATTTCATATTACTTATGTCTTCCTAACACTTCCTGATTCATTATATTCACCGTCCTCCATCCATTCGCCTCCCTCTCTCTCGTTTTCACACATCCATCAGCTCCTCACAGTGCTCCTCCCATCTTCTCCATAAACTCTCTTCACTTGTTGGAACATTTCAATTTCGATCCTGAATCTTCCTGCACATCCTTTCCAGTCTTCAATTTCCAGCTTCAAACTCATGATTCTGTCCAAAACTCTCTTTACCGCCAAAGCACTATTCACATATTATTCATTCAAGAGACCAAGCTCCATACAGGAGGGCACTACGACTCTTCTGTAGGAGAACCCTCGCTCCATAAACAGTTCACACAGTGGAAGAAATGGCCCCAAGGAGGCGCTAAATGAAAAGGCATCTCCTTCCTGTTTTTACATTGCTGGTGGACAGATTATGAGCCAAGTACCATAATGTTATTAGTCTTGGTTCAAGTATGAAATCAGTAACTCGGTGGGATATTGCTGTTTTGAGCTTTAACAGTGGTGCAAAAATGTTTCAACAACCCAGCTTTTTGAAGGTTTAGACATGCCTGCTTGTGTACAAAAGTTGTGGTGTGAGAGATTGTGAGAAACTTGCAACCATTAAACAGCCCGTGTGTTTCAGGATGATGGGGTAGTGTAATAATGATGAACAAGATAATGCAAAGATAATACAAGTGCCCAAAAAAACAGGATGCGGTTAGAAGTCAAAATGTGATCATCAGATTTGACAAAGCAACAGATGTATAAAAGATCCACTTCACACTCCTGCCAACACAACTTCACCTTTTTGCTGGCATCATGCTCAGTCTGCAAAAAATCCTGCTCCTCCATGTTCTGGCATGT